CCCCCCCCCCCCCCCGCCCACAACTGGACTTGGATGGGAAGGACCCCCCGAACCTCTAGGCCGTGCCCTCCTGGGGAGCCAGACTAAATAGAGACCCCGGGAGGACTCCCAAAGGCCGCTGCCCCGTGAGAGGGGATCGCAACGCTCTTCAAAGGCTGGCTGTCTGCAAGTTCTGTGCCTCCCCCTGGAGGACCGGGTCCCCGGCTTAGAAGAGAAATGAGCCTCTGTGCAGGGGCGGAGAGTAAAGAGAGCTCTGGAGAGGCACCAACAGCCTGTTCGAGGCCTCGGCATCCTCTCCCTGAACAGGACCCTTTTCCTTTCCCAGTGACCCGCGAATCCTCCCCAGGAGGGATTCGAGGAGCAGGCGTCCCTCGCAGGGAGAGAGGACGAAAAGGAAGCTATAGAACTTTCCTCTGGGGTGGGCTGGCATTGACCTGCCACCATGGTGGCGTCACGCATGGTACCCAGGAGCTGAAGTGTGGGGAGACAGCCCAGAGTTAGAGGCGCTCCTGACCCTTTGGGAGGCGAGAGCTTGCGTCTGCGAGGTGAGCCCTGGCTGCTTTGCCTGGACAGTCTTTCAGAGGTGTCGGGATTCTTTGTAAGACTTAAGATGTTGACTTTCTGCAGCCCCACCCCAGGTCCTGTCCATTCCACAGCCACTTCAGCCCCGTGCCCCCCCCCCCGCCCACGCACACACAGCACTTATGGTGCTCATGGTTAAAGCGTGGCTCATTCTTGCTGTAAGAACACGTGCCCCCCAGACCACACAAGGGATGATCGTGGATGCATTTTGCTAGGGGGACAAGGGATGCAGACCCTGGTCCCCTTGACCCCACAAAAAAGCTGTCTCCTATCACTCCAGAAGCAGACAGAGCCCCCAGACAGGACCCAGCATGGGAACTATTAGAAGTGGCTTCCAGAATGTGCGTGGGTCCCACGTGACCAATCTGTAAAAAAAAGAGGGGGGGTGATGTTGCCATGGCAACCCTCGCATTCCACCCTGAGTTTGCCAAGGCACACAAAAATAGGGAACATTTTCTTAAAGAACACTGGGCTCTGGGCACCCATATCCCCCCTGGTGGGGTATATTACTCTCAAAAAAATCTGGCGGTTTCTCTGCCTTCTCTGGTGTTTTGAAACCGTCCTTCCATGTGCTCAGAACAGGAGCTACCTGAAAGCCGGGTGGTATTCTCCCCCCCCCCCCCCCCCCCCCCCCCCCTTCCCAGGGCCCAGAGCAAGGACCCCTTCATCTGGGCGAAAAGGCAGAAATGTCCTTTGGAAGGCAAAAAATATTTTAAGCCTCAATCTTTAAAAGCATCTGTTGGCCTGTTGAGACGGCTCTCCCACAAGCCAGAAATGTGAACTGAAGTGAACTGAGGTTTACGTGGGGTCTTAGGCAAGCCCAGAGGCTTCTGAACTTTCTAGGTGTTTTATTTGCAGAGAACAAGACGTGTACCGCGAGGCGTGTCCTTTCTCCATACCTGTCCCCCGTCTCAAGTCGCACATGACGAGTGGTCTGTCGCGGTTAGCCAGAGAACCTAGCGAAAGCTGGCAAGGTCATGTGAGGGTCATGCCCCTCACCTCCCATGCAGAGAATCGTTAAGTGATGCATCTAAGAACTGGGAGGGGGAAATTTCTCGTTCATTCTAAATGCCTTCTCTAGGCTTCAGTTCAGACTCAGGTGATAAATCAAAGCGAGTTTTGCTCTTAGCTTGTAGCTGGCAGCCTCCCCGGGACCATGACTGAAGAGGGAGGGTGTGATGGCCAAGCACAGGTCCTGGGGTTGGCTGGCCTGGCCACGTGTGTGGCTACATGTCATGAAACCCTGTTTCTGCTGTGCCATTTTCTCTCCATGGTCGCGGTCGCTGCTGAGCTCTGCTCCTCCCAGCTGGAGGTCCCCAACCAGACTGGGTCATTTCACTGCACTGTTTCTCCAAAAGCCCATGGCGATAGTATTACTCACCCTGCTCCACGGAGTTGTAGGGAGATCTGGAACCCCACTGCAGGGAACAGTCCCTTTTCCCATAGCGCCACGATGATACAGACGGGCCGAGCCTAGGCTTCCGGACTCGGGCACATACCGGTTGTATTCCCAGGAGGACTACTCTCTGGAGAACGTCTGTCTGCAGTGACCCGAGTTCACAACTTTCCCGTTGGCCTCTTCAGGGATCCTCACGGGGCTAAGAGTCTGGAACCTTAAGCCCTCGCCATAGCCGTCTTTCCTCACCTCCTCATTACTCGGCCGTCCCGGAAGGGGTTGGGGGGAGGGAAAGATCCATCAGAAATAGCAAAGTAACATTTTTCAGCAGCTAGGGGTTTCTAGTGGAATTATTTGAACCACTAGCAAAGCGGAGGAGGGGCGGGCTGCCCCTTGTGAACCCTGTCCCCACAGCCATCTAAATGTCAGAACTGTCCAGCTTCACTTCATACTTCCTTTGACTAAATCACTCAGGGGACTGTCCTCAGCTATGTGGCCTTGCCACTGACACTTGGTTGGGGGAGGAATAAGGTCAAATGCACACACCAGCCACACACTTCTCTTAGTCTGCCGTGCTCGTTTGCTAATGCGCATGGCCACAGCGCATGACTATGGTTTCTACTTTATACTGGTTTTGGGACCCTCATTCTATGGTCTCAAGGGACGCGGTGACGAAACTCGGAAAGTCTTCACGGCAAAATTAATTTGATTCCGTTGGCTTGAGGTAATAGCCGCAAAGAATCAGGTTTTGCCAGTCCCATAAGACAGCCCTCTGGACCCGGAAAAGACTCGCCCAGCCCCCTGCCCCCTGCCTTCCCGACTTTGGGTAGCTTAATCGGTTCAACACCCATGGTGGGTGGAGCCCTCATCCGCCTCTTTTCCTTGAGCTTGATGGGTTGGCTTTCAAAACAGTGCTTCTCACAATGTTAGAAGTTATTGTCCGAGGGAAAGGGCTGCAGGGCTGGGATTTTCCAGGGGAGTAGAGGAGGAGGCTAATTAGGAAGGAATATTCCAGGGAATGAAAACTTCAAGGGTGGTGTTGCTGCATCACTGGACCTGTGAGACAAAAAGGAAGATTGTGAAGGGCTGCAGAGGCTGGTCTCTGGACGCTTTCCCTGAATCTGTGGCCTGCGGGGGACTGAGTGTCACGGGGCTGCCCATCAACCTGACCCCAGTGACACGGGTGGTGGCAGACGTCAAGTGGAGGCCATAGCTCGTCTTTCCTTGGGGGATGGGACATCTGCCAAGCTCAAAATGCCTCCCCCCCCCCGGAGGGCATTGTGTCTGGGCTCAGACCTGTTGAACTGAGGCCAGGAGACCGTAGGGTAGAGCCAGACGTAAGGGAGCACGATCGCGTGCAGGACCTCACGTGCTTCGGCCGCCCACCAGCCCGATCATTTGAGTGACGTTCCCTTCCTGGCCTCAGCTCTCTCATCGCTAAAGCAAAAGGAAAGGGAAACCAGAAGAGCCCGCCCATCGTGACTCTGTCTGTCTGAAACAAGTCAAGATGATGCCTAGGGTTGAGAGGGGCCGGATTCCCGCGTGAACTGGGGGCTGGCGGTTTCTTTTCTCACACGGGTCCCAAGAGGCAGTTGTAATAAAGGA